CTTCATGGCGTTGGTTGAAACGCGATGGCACAACCCATAGAAGGCCCAACAGGCCACCGATGTGTTGGCCCGGATTGATACCAGAAGATACAAGTCCGCGTGTGAGCTCACCCCCACCGTGGAGAAACTCATAGTCGTACTGGGAGTCTGCTATGATCCACAAGTCTTGCCAACCATGCATCTAAGATGTTTTCCCACAAACATCAAAAACCTGATGGTCAGCGAGGCAAGCATCGATTATCACACTCTTGACTCCTTCAGCAAGAAGGCCCTAGATTTAGAGGCCAAGCTAGGAGGAGCACAACAACCTGCCACAGACGTTAGGAAAAAGAAGGCCCCACAATAATGGAAGAAGAAGGGTAGTCGGTTGATGGGAATCAAACTGATCGATGATCTCTCCGATCTTATGGAGGAAACAAAGATGGGTGGCAAGGAGAGTGCAAAGGGTGGCAACCTCGCCGCCATAACCAAAGGAAAGGCAACTAGCCGCGGCAAGGGCGGTCAACAAACGAGTCAGGGGCAGACCCAAAACTCAGACAAGACTCCAACTTGGGTGAGGGCGAGCCTAGATCAGGATGTGTGGAGGGACCAGGATTCGTGTGGAGCTTGCATAAACTGCGGTGTGTATGGTCATCAACAGTTTAAGTGCAAGAAGACCAACGTCTTTCAAAAGATTCCGCCCAAAGGTGGTTTGGGGGGATCTTTCGCCTAGAGTGGTGCTTCTACGAACGCCAATCAGGGGAACAAATTCGGCCAGTAAAAGTTATAGTTGCTTCTACTCATGCTGAAGTGGTTGATGTACCCTCACCACTTCAGGAGTTGGCCGAAGCTATTAACTCACTTGTCACCCCGCATGCACATTCTGACCAAACGACACTTTGTTCGTTGGATGTGTCTGAAGCCTTAGAAGACTTAGAAACAGAGTGGTCGGCAAGGGACCCTCGTGAGTCTTGGGTGGCACTATCCAGAGGTCCTAGAGGGGAGCATTTCGTTGTGGAAGTCCGTGTAGGTGGCCGCAAGTGTGGTGCCTTCGTAGACATTGGCTCCACGCGGAACTTCATAATTCGCAACTACGTTGAGAGACTGCGCCTAGGGGACTGGGTGCAGCGGTTGGGTAGATCCTTAGCATCTACTCGAGCCAACAAAGAGCGCATGGTTGTGAGTGACTATGTCAAGGACGTAGTCTGCACCTTCTACTATGGAGGTGGGGAACTAAATTATAAGATTTCATTCCTAGTTAGCGATGACTACCATTTGACATGTTGTTAGGTATGTACTACCTCGAGCTTGCGAAGCCCCAGTTCGACTAGGACCGAAAGTATACTACCGGAAGGGAGGACATGCAGACTTGCCAAATATAAGGCTAGCAGTCTGATAGACACTTATGGTTGCATGTGTGCATCATCATTCTACAATTACCATAAACATAACCAAGAGGAGGGTATGTACTTAGTCTTTGTCTCTAAGAAAGGGGAGGTCGTTCAGTCAGCCTCAGAGATAGAAGTTGTCGTTGTTAAGTGCCCTGATCAGTTCAAGGACCCTTCAAGAGTCGTAGACAGGGAGGTTGTCCATGCTATAGAAATCATCCCAGGTAGCAAGACACTAAAAGGGATAATCTATAGGATGGCTTCGACCGAGTTGGATGAGTTTCGTCGGCAACCGAAAGAGCTTACAGAAAAGGGTTGGATTTGGCCTAGTACCTCCCCCTTCGGCTCACCAGTTCTATTTGCCCTGAGGAAGGGGGGCCAATGAGGATGTGCATTGATTATAGAGGCCTCAATGCCATCACCGTTAAAAAACGCAAAGCCTCTGCCACGCATCGACGACCTTTTGGATAGGGTGCAGGGATGTAAATACTTCATCAAGATAGATTTAAAGTTCAGTTACCATCAAATTGTGATTAGAGCAGAGGACCAACAAAAAATCGCATTTCAGACTAGCGGTCTGTACGAGTTTGTGGTAATGCCCTTTGGACTTTGCAAGGCACCGGACACATTCCAGCGCGCCATGAATAAGATATTCCATGACTACTTGGATAAGTTCATCGTCGTGTACCTCGGTCGTACCAAAATCTTATACTTGGGTCATGAGATATCCGCGGAAGGGACAAGGTCCGAAGATGCCAAGATGGCTAGCATTCGTGACTGGCCACGACCCCAGTCTGTGACTGAGGTCTGGTCTTTCTTCGGGATGTGTGGCTACTACCGCAATTTCGTGAAGAATTAGAGTACGGTAGTCTCCCCTTCGACTGATCTAACACGCCTTGACACACCATCGGAATGGACAAACACATGTGAGGCTTCTTTCAAGAGGTTGAAGTACGCCCTCACTCATCATGAGATTCTCATGGTCCCCTATCCGAAGAGGCCATTCGTTGTGACCACTGAGGCAAGCCAATACAGCATTGGCGCAGTGTTGGGCCAACGGGAAGGGAAAAAGTCGAGGTCGATCGAGTACATGAGCCGGAAGATGCATCAAAGAAGTTGGCAAAGTCCACCTACGAAAGGGAACTCTACACCCTTTACAAGGCTCTTGTCCACTGGAGACACTATCTGTTAGGAAGGTTCTTCTACTTGAGAACTGACCATCGGACACTCAAGTGGACCAAGACACAACCTGTCCTCTCCGACGCACTCAACCGTTGGATTGAAGTCATTGATCAGTATGACTTCAAGCTAGACTATGTGAAGGGAGAGTACAACAAGGTTGTTGACGCGCTGTCACGTAGGGCAGACTACAAAGGTGCGCTAATAACTGAATTTGGCTTATCTGACGATGTAACTCGGTCAATGGGGGAATCATACAAGGAAGGCCCCGTCACGATGGGTATCATGCGCAAAGTTGAGGCCCAAGACAAGGCCACATCAGATGAGTTTGTGATGGTAGATGGGTTACTCTTTCTTGAAAAGGTAGGATTCAAAAGAATTAGTTGTTCCATCTAGTGAAATTTTGCATAGTTTGTTTCTAGGTGAGTGCCATGATGCGACAGGTCATTTCGGTTACAAGAAGACTAGTGCTTTAGTGCAACGTTTCTGGTGGCCTGGTATGCTCGACAATACGAAGAAGTACGTCCAGACTTGTTAGGTCTGCCAGCGGGACAAGCCACGAACTCAAGCTATGTTTGGGTTACTCAAGCCCTTGCCCATTCCTGCAGGTTCCGGACAGTGTTTCCATGGATTTCATGGATACCCTCGTGACCAGCAAGAGTGGCAAGGGGCACATCTTCGTCATAGTAGACCGGTTCACTAAGTATGCTAGACTAATCGCCATGCCCGAGACAACAAAGATTGAACACACCATCAAGTTATTCATGGATAACTGGGTGCGTGACTTTGCACTGCCCAAAACCATTGTTAGTGGCAAAGATGTCTAATTCACAAGTGAAATGTGGAAGAAGGCTGTTGAACAGATGGGCAGTCAACTGCAAATGACTTCGGGGAATCATCCCGAAGCAAATGGTCAAGCAGAACAGATGAACCATGTGGTGCAACATTTGTTGAGGCATTACATCAAGCCCAGCCAAGATGACTGGGATGAGAAACTTCCTCTCATCGCCCAGTCTGTACAATAACGCTGTACACAACACCATCGGCGTCAGTCCCAACCAGCTGCATTTGGGATGGAAGCCTAGATCTGCTCTAGACTTCCTCCTACCTGAAAATCGACCCACTGCAATGCCTGGAACTATTGAATTTGGTGTCCAGTATGAGAAACTGTTGCAGAAGGCTGTCGAGCATATCAGAAAATCTCAAGTGGCAATGATTGCCTCTGAGAACAAGCATAGACGACAGTCCACATTTCAGGTAGGGGAACGCGTCTTGCAATACCCGGCCTGATATGCCCTGAAGTGGTCCTCAGGCCACACGCAGGCCGCGACCCCGGTCCGAGGCCACAAAGGCCAGGGGAGAAATTCCCTTGTTGACCCAGGGCTTGTGCGCCTGACAGTTGACTTTGGTCAACTGCCCAGGGGGCCAAGAATCAAAGTCTGTATGTACCCAGCCCAGGCTGCCGGTTAGAAACACACACTTGTTTGTATGCAGGTACCAAGACAGCATCAGGACCAAGTGAAAGTCTGCAACTGTACAGGCCCTTGACTGTGAGTCAATCTGGGCCACTGTGGGTGGGAGACCTGAGGCAGGTCAACTCGGTCAATCACTACATAAGACCCTGCCTCTAGGGGGTAAACATTCAGTCTTGCTGGCTTGACGCTGGCTTGACGCTGGCTGTGTGCTGGCACTGTGGACGACGACGCGGGGCTGAGGCAGCATGCTGGCGCCTTCTCTGCTGAGCGCCAGCTTCTGCTGATGTGGCGCATGCCACCTGTCTTCATTGCTGATGTGGTGCATGCCACCTGTCTTCATTGCTGATGTGGCATTGGCCATGCTGTCTACATTGGGTGACTGGACGCGACAAGGTGGGAGATCGGGATATGTGGATGATTGAGGAGGATCGGGATACTTACCTGAGGTTGATGTCCATACTGTGCGCTGTTGATTGTCTCCAACATCTTCACGAGAGAACTGTGCCACGTGGCACTTCGATGTGATCAGGATTGGTCAGGCTCGTTACTGGATACTGTTTTGCTGACGTGGAGGCGAGGGAAGCCCGAAGGAGTGGGGAATGTTGGGCTACTCTCTGTGTGGTCATTGATGTACATTCTCTTCCACCTTCTACTCTGTCTATTCCCCCTCCACTCTCTTCTATTCCCCCTCCACTCTCTTCGTCTACTGGAAACGAGACATTGTATCAGAGATTGCATTCATGATTATTGGGGACACTGTTCAGAGTTGAGTTACTTTGTATTTCAACATCTGTCGAGTATCTTACAGACTGGGTTCATTACAGTCTGGGTAAAGGCTAGTGAACTGGGACAGGAATTTGTCATCTCTAGAAAACTAATGCCACAGTACTTCGGTCCTTGGGAATTCCTAGATATCGTGGGTAGTGATCTTGATGGCCCCTCGTACGTCATAAGTATCCCTGGTCGTCTGCGCACTTACCCTGTATTTCACGCTTCCAAGCTTGCACCTTTCGCTGAGACAGAACAGTCCCATCAAGAAGGTCACGCTGTGTGAGGCCGACACATCACAGACTGGTTACGGGCCAATGAGGAAGCAGCATTATCGTCACACGTGGGCCGCAATCCAACGAGAATGCTGCAAACGCTTGGAGGTTGAGTGGCTGCCTGGATGTGCTGAACTGCACGAGGCCCAGTCCAGTTTTGGAAACTGGGCCTGGGCGCAGACACTTGGGCCCCAACTGAAGCTACTGGGCCCCCCACACGCCTGGCCAGGACAGCCAGCAGCGACACACTTTCCATAAAGGAAAGTGTGAGCCCCTGGCAGTGGCATTCTGGCCTTGGCAGACAATGCGGACACGCTGCTGCGTTGCTGCGCTAGCATCTGCATAGGCCTGCTGGTTGGACGCGCGCACGTGGGCAGACGTGAGGGGCGCTGCAAGGGCAGTGGGCACACAGCAGCCAAGCCGGGCTGCAGGGGCGCAAGGCAGGTGAGGCGCAGGCTGTGGAAAGACGAGGGGTGATGAGGGGAGAAGAGAGAACTTCCCTGGTGTATGCTGGTGGTTGACATTGGTGTTGACATCACGTACATTGGTCTTCGACTTCAGAGTGATAGGCTAGATAGGCTGAGTACGATAGCCTGGGCGCTGGGCGCCAGACTTTAAGTGCGAACTTGGATACAGTATTGGTGTGACCAGAGAGTGGCGACATTGACACCTGAGATTGATTACATAATTGAGCAAAAAAGGAAAAAAAACTTATGCTCCGTGAGGTTTCAGTAAGCTAGAGCAATCAATGAATTCAATCCCACCGGGCCATCGTCAATTTTCAATTCCCGTTAGCTTAGGGTTCAGTCTAGATAAGAGCTGGGATGGTTGGATTTAGCCGGCGGCGTATTATCTTTTCATTGTATTGCTCTTACTTTGATGGTATCTTGGCCGGCGGCGTATTATCTTTTCATTGTATTGCTCTTACTTTGACGGTATCTTGGTGCATTGTACTCTCTGCTTGGTTCATGACTATCTGAGCTTCTTCGTGATTTTGCAACTTGGATTTCTGTGTATCGCTCTCGCTCATATTCCTTGTAGAAGAGAGATTTTCCGAAAAAAAAATAAATTTCGAAATATTAAAGTGCAAGGAAATGAGCGATAGCGAACTTCAGAAACCAAGCAGCATCATACACATGAGACCAGATAGTTGTGACCTCGAACCAAAAGGCTGGCAAAAGCAGAATTGCAACACGAGTTCCACCAAATAAGAACACAGCAAAAGCTCACAAGTGACAATGTTGGAATGGTCTCATGACTCTCATCATCATCAACAATGAACCAATGTCGACATCCGACCTGGCGCTCTGCGCCCAGACTACAAATGGTAGATCCTATCTAGCCTATCTACAATACCGCTGGTGACGTCAACAGCTCCCCGAAGTACGAGAAGGTCTCGGGCAATGCCGTTCGCCTCAAGCACCAGGTATGTCTTTCGTATCACTCACAACCTTTATCCCCCACTCACAGATGCCACATGCACCCAAGGACCACCATGCGCCCTATCCAGCTCAGCGCAGTGCAGCTCGGCTATGGCTGCCTGCTCCACCTGCTCGCTCATGAGCGCGTGGGCCTGGCGAGCGATTAGCACAGCAGCGCATGCACAGCATGCGTCCAGTGCCCAAATGCCGAATGCGGAGGCAGGCACTTTCCTAAATTGAAGTGGCCTGCCTGCTGCATGCGGCCTCACTGCACTGGGCCCCGGCCCAGAAGCTTCCGGTAGCCCCCGAGAGGCTGAGCCTCAGTCCAAACGAGTCAGGCCCAGGGCCTATGGTGGTTACCCATGCCCAACTGCCTGCAGCCTGTGTTCAGTCCGTTGTTGCGTATCTGGCCCAGGGCCTGCCTCAGTTACATACGATAAAGGCAGCCTGGGCCTGGGTGCTTTCAACCAACTGGCACTGCGCAACTGCCTGAATTTCCCCAGTTGCGTGGTTGTCCAAAATAGGCCTCTAGGCCTGGGTCGGGCCTGCCTTCACTTAGGGCGGCCGACATTTCTGATAACAGGGCCCAGTAGGGCTTACCGAGGCCTTGCGCCTTGCAAAAGCAACCGAAATTTTGAAATTCCAAAAAAATAAAGGAAATCGAAATTTTCAGCTACTAACGACTTCCGAAGGAAAAAAAAATAAAAAATAAATCGGATTTATCAAGCACCGAAATTTCGAAAATCACAAAAAACGAAAATCGGGAATTTCAGTTACTGCACAATTTCGGATTTTACGAAAACGAATTTGCGCCAAAGAAGGAATTCCAAAAAAATAAATTTTAAAAAATCGGAATTTTGACGGGTAGGCAGAAAACGCGAATTGGAGTTTACTTATGTTGACCTAATCAACTAATCAATCAATCAACCAATCAATCAATCAATCAACCAACCAAACAATCAATCAATCAATCGATTGGTCATGACTAATCAATCAATCGATCAATCGATCGATCCATCCATCCATCCATCCATCCATCCATCCATCCATCGATTGATCGATCGATCGATCAATT